GTTATTATGTGTGCCAAATATCATTTACCAGTGGTTTGTCCTTGGCACAAGAACTAACCAATCAGAACCAAGGGGCAGCGCTCACCTAATTCCTTAGTCAGTCCTCCCCCCTAGGCAGTATAAAGGTTGGCGCTCACTAACTCCTTAGGCTAGGGTCTACAACTGTGACAAGAATGCCATATGGAGGAAAGGAATATTTGGCCAGCAATACCTGTGTATAATTTCAGATTTTAACAACAAATGATGGTCATTATCTTTACAGTGGATGGAAGGAATGCATAATAATCTGATCAAATGCCTGTTTACCTTGTCTTAAATCTCAGTGAAGACTTTATTCTAATGAAACAATATAGGCGTTTAATCATGATTCTAAACTGTAACTTTGAGGTTGTCTTTTTAATCACCACTGTAAAGTTTTAAACCAAATCTGTGATAATCATCCAAATATCCACTGCTAGAGCACTCATTAGAAAATATTTTTCAGAAGGACATCCCTACTTAATGACTTTTCTATTTTTTATTCATTTATGTATTTATAAACTCATTACCTGGTTCTAGCTTTTTTTTTTACAAGGCTATGACTGAAACTCACGTACTAACATATAATCTCTATAATGTAATCTATACAACAAATATTTACTAAAACATACAATTCCTTAGCCCGTCTCTCTTGATTTGGTATTTATACTTTTTTTAAAATTAGTACTGCACTGAATATTCAGTCAAATCATTCACTCAAAAATATAATTTTTTTATATTATCAAAGATTAACAATTATAACTGCCTAATCAGTATACCACAATGGGTACCCACAAGCAACCCCAGAGCACCCCCCCCCCCCCCCCCAATAGTGTAATATGGTCGTAATCCCACTTACCCACAGGGGTGGAGCTAATGTTGCTGAGATACCACAGACAAACTACAGCAATAAACACATTAAATGTCTGCTGCTCTCCTTCCCAACACAGCATGCCCATCACAATGCAATAAAGTAGCACGCTGCATACTTCATGTGACATCCCCACTGTGTGAGCTGATTATCAATTGGCATTCCACCATCATAAAAATGAGCACATCGTCACTGGTAAATGAGACGGGATAGGAATTGTCATCAGCCCTAATCACATCTAGTGTAATGATGTTAGTCATTATAACTGGTCTTTTGGCAGCCGTTGGGGCTACTTAGGAAAACAACAAATGATAAGCCAATTTGAAACACAAAAGTTTTGTTTATACACACAGCTATGACAAAAAGGAATCGTGAGTTTGTCCCCAACCTCAAATAGTCTAGAGCAGCAACTAGGGTAAAAACAAATGATAACATTATTAAAAATCTGTATATCAAATGAACTGCACCTGGACTCTGCACACAAAAGGGAAATTAACGAGTTCTGTCGTTGCTGAGATGACAGCGTTAATAACGGTTCCTTTATGACTGCCGTTATAAAGCCCTTAAGCCAGGGTTACCTTTGTAAACAGAATAATAAACTGATGAAGAATAACAAAATCTGTGAC